AGTTCAACTAAGACAAAATTCAATTAACTAATTGATTTTGCAGAGATTTTGGCAGCACTACCTTCAAAAAAGTGCTATTCCGAAATTTATACAAAATTCAATTCAGAATTTGAAGATAACTTTAACTCCCCAAAGTTCAATTTTGTTTAACTCACTGATTTCGTAAAAATTAGGGCAACACTCCCCTTAGAACGGAAGACTTCCCAAATTTATACTGAGTCATATATAAAATTTAGACAAGTTGAACTTTGAAAAGTCAAAGTTTGACTAACTCCTTGGATTTGCAGAAATTTCGGCAGCGCTTCCCATAGGGGAGGGTCACTTGCCAAGATTTATACAGAGCCAAGTGTAAAAATTAATCCCAAAAAATGCAAGAATTGATCGAAGTAATAAAATATAGCTTAGAAATGCGGGAATTGACCTAACTCCTATCGCTCTAGCACGTGGCGAGCAACTAAAGCAACTACCTTTCCAAATAAACTCAGACTAAGTAGTAATCTCACTCAGCCACATGCAGGTCAAACCACAAAGGTAAGTACTCTCACCAACCCAAGTCAATCTTGACAACTAATAGTTCATAGCCTTTCAATGATTTATCCCTTTATACCCAACTTACATAGGGCATCGAGTTAGGTCATTCGTCTTAAAAACAATGCCAACTTTTTGCCTTAGTTATACACGAACAGGTTGCACAACTACTTCTCTCTTCATTGGGCATATGACTAAGCCATTCGTCTTAAAAACAATGCTTAGTCGCTCTGATCTGTTTAATAGCCAAGTTATATATATCTTTTTGAGTTTAATGTTCAAAAGTGGGCGTAGGACTGAGTTATTCGACTTCGAAACAATGCTCAGTTGACCCAGGTTACCTTCAGTTATAGCTCTTTAATTATACTCTCTTAATTTGTGATAAGGCTATAGTCAGATCATTCGTCTTAGAAACAATGTTTGGCTAGCTTTGTTCTTATAATCATATAGATATAGAAATATAGAAAGTCCTATTCCCTTGTTCATGTTAAAATCCTGTGGCCTCAGACTCAGACCATTCGTCTTAGAAACAATGTCCAGTCTTTGGCCTGAACCTCCCTTAGAATAAAACAACCAAAAGAGTTGAGTCATTCGTCTTAGAAACAATGCTCAATCCTCTTTTCTCAGCACTGAAAAAAACAGAGTACCCCTGGTCTAGATCAGAGACTGTTCAGAAACTACCCAAAATAAACAGCGGCAAAATCATTCGTCTTAGAAACAATATCCGACCCTTTAAGACCCTTTCAACATCAAACATAGTTGCCTTTCTCCCACCTTCCCCCTGATGCAAGCCCTTTTCTCACAATCTGCTTTCAGATAATCAACAAAATTGAAACTGAGATTGCGCATGCATTCCTTTATTTAATCTGGTTCGTGTCATGAAGGTCAAACCCAAAGTCAACATAGGATGCACGCAGTATACTCAGTCAAAACATAGCAAGAAATACAGATAGGGGTTATAACTGGGTTTATAGAAGAAGGTGGAAGATTACCTCTCAATTCCCTGCCTCTATAACTCCTCCTGAGTTCCGGCAGAGCTCCCGCAATCGATGGGCTGACTCCCCACAGAGTCTTGATGCGGACCTATGGGTTGCAATCCCGCCTCCCGCCTGCCGCCTTCCTCTCAGAACCAATGGACTAGACTTAGAGAAAGAAGGATAGAAAGAAGATAGGTTGGAGACTCTCAGATCCAAGAGAGGTACACTTAGACTCACATGAGAGGGCCTTGGTATCTTGACGCGCCTGAGGGCCCCGCAATGGCGGCCAATAAAAACAGCAGCTTAGTTAACCAAAGCCAAATCACCAACTGTTGACTTCCCGCAGCTCTTACAATTCGCAGCAGTACCTCCCCTTCAACAATTGCAGTCACTTTACAGCACCCGTGGCTTTAAGGGTAGTAGCCACCGGTAAATCCACAGGCTCACGGCTCGCCTCTGATTATCCCCTTCGGCCTACTGAGCAGCGCACCAGCCAATGACCAAATCAGCAACCTGCAGTTAGCCTGTTGCCGCTTCGATCAATAGAATGAGCAATGCTTTGTGATCATCACTGTTCTTCGCGCCGACCACACCAATCATACTAGTCACACCTTCCGCCATAAAGGCCAAATCAACGAACTCACAGACCAAAACATCGCTAGGGTAAATAGTTGCTGCCTCAGCTGCACCAATAGTTTCCCACTCCGACCAGCATTCCCTTTAACCACTATCTACCGCAATACCGGGGCAAAATCTGTAGCAACTCACGACCTTATTTATCAATTCTCTTATCAGGCGAACTACTAGGAACGACCAAGCACAAACCGGGCTAGTTCTCCAGCCTCACGCTGTTGTCTAAATCTCCCATTGCTCAGGTTTCCTCCCCTGGTCCGCGGTATATGGTTCTTCATGGACTCTAGCCGCAACCCGGACTATATACGAGTGGCTCTGGGTGAGCCCCAACCGGCCTTTTATTTAATGAGAGTATCCCTTCCAGAAGTCAGGGTGTGCAACAAGCACTCATTCTATAATAACCACGGTTATCCGAGTAGTATGAAGTGCAAAATACTCAGTGCCACGCTCATACATACGTGGCTTGGCCCTTGAAACTAGCAACAACCACTGACAGAACCTAGCAGGTTGTGCGGTCCTACAGAAACATATTATCTCTCTCTTCGATCAGTCTACCTGGCCAAGCTCTCGACCAGGCTTACAGAGCTGAGATCATTATGGTATCGCAGTGAATCCCGTGCGGAGCAGCATACCAGGCTTATGCAGCAGCGTGACCACCACTCATGCCATATGCAGCTGAGTCCTCCGCTTAGGACCTGAGACGATGCACAGACAGAATCTCGCTCTCTACCAACACACAGTACGGCTCCTTTCCTTCTTCCCCCGAATACCAGATATGTGGTCACCACTATGACTGAGTTCGTCCACACCCTGATAGCATGACAATCACTACTCTCTAGATAGCTCGGCCAACGTGTATGCTGCGGAGAGGGAGAGGGAGAGAAAACAGTTAGATGTATCTTTCAAGGAGAGCGACACACCGGTCAATAGGTAAGTCTCCAACCTTGCGGCTGGCCTCACGCTACTTGCTTCGAAGGGATGTACAAAATTGAATGAATCTGTCCGCAAAAGCGGTTAGATTCATTTCCCATTTGGGCAACAGCCGACAACTTCCCCTGGGCACAACTCCCGCTTGCTATACCTTCGAATCCGATCCCCCACTTCCAAATCTACCGATGCCATTGCTTTTGTAACGCCTCAAATCCTTAGTATAAGGCCCTTCCTCATCGATATCGATCAAGAAACGGCGTACATCCTACACCTTTCATCTCCCTCCTCCATAGCTCCACGCACTACCACTCTCTACTAACCCCCATATCACTAGCTCCCTTCTGAAACTAACGTCATCATTCGTTTCGCCCGGGGCCATAACCCCGGGATTGCATCTTTCCCTATCGAAAACGGCCGAGAAACAAATGATTAGCGTAATCTTCACTCCCGTTCATTTTCCTTTCGGACTCCGTTCACGCACTCCATTCTCCTATTGCCATTCATTCTACTCCTTCAACACTAAATCTAATCGTACCACTAAACTCGCCTACCCTCAAAACCCCTGTCCACGTACCTCTTTCGCTCGATTTCATCAAGATTCGAGTGGAAACTCGATTCTCTCCTTCCCATCGTCTCTTCTCCCGCCATAGCTTCCGTGCACTGATTCCCTCACTCACCTCCTAATCCGCTAACTCAACTACAAACTAACCCTGCCACGTGACTCGCCCGGGGTAAAAACCCTAAAATCGCTTCCTTCCTCACTCAAAACCATCGAGGAATGAAGGAGGCAGACGTTTTTCCTCTCGCCATAGCTCCCCTTCCTTTTGCCATGTCCGCCTGCATGTACTCCGCGCGGCTTCGTAGCTAGATTCAATCTCCCTTTTTCTCACCTCCTTCCCCGGTTGCTGCCTCGTTCGCCGCCTTCAGCTGACGCTCGTCTAGGTGATCGTGGTGCCCTGGTCCGACTGCCCGAAAGTCTCAGCTGTTTGTCGCAAAAAAAATACAGCGCTGGCTACCAGACCATTCGAACAGCCTTTAGCACTTATGCCCCATTCGTGCCCGCCTATACGCTAGCCTAGACAACACAAGCATGTGCTTGACTGAGACAGACAGCAGGGCATAACTAAGACAGTCAAAAATATACTGCGAAGCATATGTTTACACTTTACTCACCTGCCAGACCCACCAGTCCAACCGGATGACCCCCCAGAGCGTGAGGCGGCTCCATTACTGCGGCCAAAGGGTTGCCGCGGCCCCACAGTGTGGGCTAGGTGCAGATCTTGGTAGTAGTAGCCATAAGAACTTTGGGGGCTGGAGCGGGGATGGTTTTCGTGGGAACAACCACCTCAGCCAGCATCGCTGCGCCCCCCACAGGCCTTCTCGGAATGTTTCTCCGACTCCCTTCCACTGTAGACTATCGCCGCTCTCCAAGTGGGAAGCGATGGAAGCCACGACCACGGACCCCACCACTCTCCCGCGTTGACCCCCCTGGTCCGGACTTCAAGATGGGTGGGCTAGGGGAATTCCATTAACACCCCGACACGCCGAAATCCGAATGTGCTTGCCAAAAGAGGCGCGTGCTCAAGGTCCTTGGCGGTCTCGATGAGCTCTAAATCCACGCGGACGTTGTGCGGAGATGGCGGACGAAGGTTAGTTGATCGTTGTTTTTTTTTTTTCCCTGTTTTTTTTTTTTTTTTTTTTTTTTTTTTTTGTCGCGCAATGTCGCGGTCGGGATGGGGGACGGGAACTGAGAAGGGCAAGGTTGGTTTCAAGGCGGGAGGTCGTGGACGGGGGAGCAAAGGCACATAGGGAGAAGCGGGATGGGAGACACGAACGGAGGAGGGAGTGGTCGGAATTAGGGAGGGAGAGTTGGGACGATGTCGAGGTCGGGATGGGATCGGAGTCGGGAGGTCGGGAGGTCGGGATGGGAGACGGGTCGGGACGTGGTCGGGGAGCAAGGGGAGAGAGGGAGAGGTCGAGACGGGGAGATCGGGATGGGAGGTCGGGATGGGAGATGCGAACAGAGGAGGGAGAGGTCGGGATCAGGGAGGGAGAGTTGGGACAATGTTGGGGGAAGGAAGGAGAGGGGGAGAGAGGTCGAGACGGGAAGGAATGGGGGGGGAAGAGGTCGGGATGAGGTCGGGATGGGATGGGAGTCGGGAGGTCGGGATGGGAGACGGGTTGGGACGGGGAAGGAAAGGGAGGAGGAAGAGATCGCGATGACGTCGGGATGGGAGTTGGGATAGAGGAGGAGGAAGGAGGAATCTAGGCATTGGAGAAAGTCGGATGGGAGTTGGGATAGAGGAGGAGGAAGGAGGAATCT